AATGGAAATAAATGTCTAATTAGGGAAAGTGAAAAGTCCAAAAGTTTGATGGCATTTTTCAAAATAGGCTGTCATTTTGACCTGTTCACTGATATACTACATATCCTGCAGTTTAAAAGGTGCAATATTTAGAGATGCATGTTAATAAAATCAGTTACACACTTAAAAATCAAGGTTTTTATTGGCATTGATTGTTCCATGAAGAACCTTTAACATCTATGGGACCTTTCAATTCCACAAAAGGTTCTTTATAGTGGAAAAAGTTTCTTCAGATTATTATTATAAAAATGGTTATTTTAAGAACTGTTCACTGAAAGGTTCCTTGGGGAACCAAAAAATGTTCTTCTATTCAAAACCCCCTTTTGGAACCTTTATTTTTAAAAATGTAGCAAACAGACTAGCAATACCTAAATTATTTATTCTGGCTACATAAAAATAGAGGTAACCTACATGTAACATTGAGTAAAAGCGGTCTGGACCGGTCTGTGCCGAGTGGGTTGCGGGCCACACAGAAGTATTCTCCATGGTCCCTGTAGTCCAAACTCCACAACCTCAGCTCAGGTTTAAAGCTGTCTGGCAAACTGCCACTCTCTCCTTCTTTAAACCAGGTGAAACTTTCTGCTGGCGGAGCTCCATCACTACTGCAGGTCAAAGTCACCGAATCGCCCTCCCCGACTGCCTCTCGAGGGGTGATTTGTACTGTGGTGTAGCGAGGAGCATCTGAGACACAGAGAAAGATAGAGACTAAATGCAAGTTCTAGGGCTGCTGACAGTAGAATTCAATTGAACACCCTGCTTTAATCACTGTATTTACACGTTTTATGTATTTAATACACAACATTTAATGCACAGTTGAATCCTTGAGTAGCTTTTTCTAATAATACATGTATAAAATCAGCCAATTTAGATGTTACCACATGCAGCACATTTTAGACAGGTTTATACTATATCCAGTATTATTCAATAATGTTTTGCTGAATGTTTATTTCTGTTCTTATGCTCACCTTATTTGATCAAAAATGCAGTTAAACAGTTATATTGTGAATATTATACTTTAAAATAACTATTTTCTCTCAATATATTTTAAAATGTAATTTATTCCTGAAGCTGGGTTCAGTTACACATACAGAACTATTGTCTATATGCATGCACAATACTCACATCCAAGAGCCAGGGTGACTCCTGGTGACTGAACATTTTGAGGGGGTATTGGACGGCAGGTGTAGGTACCTGCATGCTGACTGTCAAAGTTATAGATGGCTGACAGCTTGTTGGACTGACCCAAGTTGATCCCATTCCGATAAAGGGCAAAGTTCCTGCCAGGAGCGGCACAGCCTCGGGCCACACAGCTCAGGAAGACCGTCTCTCCAGCAGCAAACATGTTGTCTGTTCTCGGTGGATGTACATGAACCTGAAGCTCTGGAATCAGGACAACATTTCACAATATTAGGTCCATGCGCCATACTAAATTATTTTAGGAACAAGCTGTTTTCCACAATTATATGCAAATAAACAACAACAAAAGGTGTTAATTTCTCCCTAATTACTAGATTTTCTACAGAAAAAGTGCAAGACTGTTGCTCCAATTTGAAGGTGTTGCCAGGCTGTTGCTTTGTGGTTACTAGTGTGTTTCTAAGTGGCTGTGTAAATAACACTCCTTCCACCACTGGTTGAATAGTCAGGTAGCCCTGCCCTCAGGTAGCCCCCCCCCAAAAAACACTGACTTACGCTACTATTCCATTCAAGACATTACAAATGTCTTTACTGTCCCCAAACTTTTGAACAGCAGTGTATAGTTGTATCTACATATTAAACTTGTTTTTATATTATTTAACACAAAAAAAT